TAGTAACCAGTACACAGTCATTACTGTCAATAATGCGTCACAACTGACCATCGCCTACGCCCATAAACGTTCACGAGTGTAAAGGAGAACGACGAACCGTACCATTCGTCGTTTTCGCTTACATCGCAAGGTAAAAGCACTTTTCAGCATCATGTTTTCAACGATGATTCAGGAAGCATTCCAGAGCTTCCCTGTTGGCGTTGATACCAGGCACAGTTTCTGTTCCTACAGGCCTATCCTTCATAAGCTTTTGACGTTATTTTTCATTATAGTTGTTCTGTTCCTATGTCTGGATGAAAATAGTCTGTGTGTGTACGGCAAAATCTTCAACTCTCGTAGGCTGCAGGCAAAATCAAAAACTAGTGTGATGCATGTCTGTGAACTGCAATTTGCCGATGGCTGTGCACTGCTTGCTCATGAACAATCTAGCATTTTTCAAATGCATGTGACAACTTTGGACTTACAACAGGCACATCAAAAACAGAAGTTCTCTTCCAGCCTGCCCAAGGTGATACCCTCCCTCCAAAAACCGAAATACACAGAACAACAGTGGACACTGTTGATAGCATTAAAAGTGTCATCATTATCATCATTGCCTTTCTCACCCTGTACCAAGGTATAGGCCACGGACAAACACGTTCCACCTTTCTCTATCCTGGGCTAGCCTCTTAATGTTCCCACTTTTCTGTACATCAATTTCTGTGGTTCTTCCCCTTGATCTTTTACCCTGTGGATTCCAATCCTACACTTTCTTTGTTATGCAGCTGCCTGACTTCCCGAGAGTATGTCCAATCCATCACCACCGCCTTCTTCCTACCTCATCTCTGACTGGGATCTGTCTTGTTTTCCTTAACACTTCCTCGTTGGTGACCTTGTCTGTCCATTGGATCCCCAGCAACTTTCTTAGACACTTGTTCAAGAAAACCTGGATCCTTTCATGCAAGTCTGTTATGCGTTCCATATCTCACATCTATACAACAGGACTGATTTCACATTTTAATTGAAAATCCTCAGCTTTGTTCGAAGTGAGATGTCTCTGGTCTTCCAAATCCTATTCAAAGATATGAAAGCAGCCTGTGCTTTTTCAATTCGGGACTTTATTTCAGCACCTGTTCCTCCCTCAACGTCTTCCAGTGCATTTCCTTCTATTGTGACCTGCTCATTTTGTTGTGCATCTGTCCTTGGGACCTTTAACATTCCGGGGTGGATCCTCAATCCAACAGACTTTCATAGGCTGTCTAATACTGAAATCTTTGCTTGCATCTGTTCCTGGGTGTGCGACAGAAGCGCCAAGTCGTCCGCAAAATCCAGATCGTCCAACTATGTCCATGGGATCCTCTGTATACCATTTCTGTGTCCTCTGGTGGTTTCTTTCATCCGCCAATTGACTGCCATTATGAAGAGGAGAGGTGATAGTAAACATCCCTGTCTCACACCAGTCTTGATGTCAAGGCTGTCAGTGAGCTGGCCATCATGTACAACCCTGCCACTTGTCCTTTCGTACATGCTCTTGATGAGGTTCACCATCTTCTGTGGGATTCCGTGATGTCTCATTATCTTCCACAGTGTTGCTAGGTCTATACTGTCAAAGGCATTCTCATAATCAAGGAAGTTGACCATCAGTTGGGAGTTCCACTCCAGGGACTGTTCCACAATGATCCTCAGCATGGCAATCTGGTCGGTGGTTGAGCGATGTTTCCGGAAACCAGCCTGTTCACCCCGTAGTCTTGGATCCGTTGCAGTCTTGATTCTCTCAGGAATTATTTTGTTGAAAATCTTCTGATCTGGTATTGAGAGAAGAGTGATCCCTCTGTATTTTCTGCTGTTGCTGAGATCCCGCTTTTTTGGAAGCTTCACGAGGTGTCCTTCTTTCCAGTCCTTTGGGAACTTGATCTCATACCAGATCCTGGTAAACAGTGGGAGGAGGATGTCTGCCGTCACATTGGCATCTGCTTTTAGGGTTTCAGGTGGAATCTGATCAGGACCTGCCGCTTTACCTCTGTTAAGCTTCTTAATGGCATCCAGAATCTCTAGTCTCGAAGGAGCATCACAGCAGATTGGTAACTCATTTCTTGCTGGCAGGATGTTTGGCGGGTTACTCTGTGGTGGTCTGTTCAGGAGACTGTTGAAATGCTTTATCCATCGTTTCGACTGAGCTTGCTTTCCAAAAATGTTTTTTCCCTCTTGATCCTTTTCGGGTACTTTAGGTTTCCCATATTTTTCAGCTAGAGTCTTTGGAGTCTTGTAAAAGGTTCGCTTGAGCTCTCCTACCGCTGCTTCCTCTGCCTTCTCAGCAAGCCTGTTCATGAATTCGTCTTAGCGATTTCTTGACATCCCAAGCTGTTGACCTGTACTGCTTTAATGCATCTGCTCTTGATCCTCTTGTTCTACTTGCATTTACTTCTGCCTTTAGCTGTTTTCGAATCCTAATTAAATCCAATGAGTGTTGGCTAATCCATTCCTTGTGCTCCCATTTCTTCGCACCGAGTACCTCTTGACTCTTTAATCTTGGTCCAGTGTATCTCCACCTCCATTTCCTCTCCACCAAGATCAGCCAGCGATAGAAATCTGTTCCTCGGCTGCAGCTGAAACGCCTCTTTCTTGTGTCCGTCCAAGAGACTTACTTGGAACTTCGTTCTTTTAGTTCCTATGCTGGTTCCGTGCTTTTTTAGTCGAATGTTGAGTTTTGCCAACAGCAGATGATGATGGGATCCAACGTCTGACCCTCTCTGTACTATGATATCTTCCTGTGAACGCCAGAAACTGCGAGAGATACAAAAATTATCTATCCGGTTCTCGTCACTCCATCTGGCGAAACCCAGGTAGCATTGTGAATCCTCTTTTGAGGAAAAAGAGACCCTCCAATGACAAAACTGTTGAAAGCACAGGTATTTGCCAGTCGCTCACTATTCATATTCATTTGTTCCAAGCCATGTTGTCCCTTATAACTTACGTTGTCCTGACCAATCTTGGCATTGGCAGCTCCCATTATGATGTCAAAGGTAGTTTCTCAATGACCCCCTGGAGCTGGCTGTAAAATGCATCCTTGTCTTTATTTGAACCCCCATTTGTTGGGGCATAGATCTGGACCATATGTTTATGTTGATGCGCTTGTTCCTTGTAGTGAATGATGCCACGATGATCCTCTCCCCGCGTGGTTCCCATCCTCTAAGTGACTTTGGTGCATACTTACTCAAAATGACCACTACTCCTTCCGCATAGTGCTTGCCTTCCTTCGAAGAATACTTGTTCCCCCGAGCTGAGCTGCTTCTGTCTAGACTGTATCCAGTGTGTTTCGCTGACTCCTAGTATGTGCAGCCTGTATCTCTTCATCTCTTGTGTTACTTGAGAACTTTTTCCTGCTTCATACACGGTGCGAACATTCCACAACGCAATCCGGAGAGACTTATTCGACAAAAAAGGTTTCGAGTCAGGAGAGTCCTTTCGGCTTTGTCCACTGTCCTTCATTGTTCCTGCGGATGCAGAAGCTCCTCCGTCTCCCAAGATAAAAAAGTAAAAAGCCGTGTTTGTCTGTGTTTCGGTAACTGACTGTTTTTACTGGATCGGGTAGTTGGCCCCCTGCAAACTTCTACTTTTCGGTCTACCAGACCTATGCACGTTTAGTCGCCTCTTACAACACGCAGTATCAAGGCAGGTGTATTCTCTGCTCCCCCATAGTACAACTATGGGGGCCCCACACATGCAGGGGAGTTTAAACATCTCGGCAGTACTTTGCCTTCAAATGCCTGTATCGATGCAGAAATAGGTTTACGTATGAACTAGTGCATCCTTTGAAAGACTCAGAACAAGGGTTTGGGACTGCTGTGGCATTTGCACAGGACAAAGTTGAAAGTCTACAATGCTCCCAACCCTGTTGTGTGGTGTTGAGACCTGGGCAGTGTACCGTGTCAAGAGCTTAACTATTCACATATGAAATGCCTCAGGAGAATTCGAGGCATCAAATTAATGACAGGATAAAATACCAGATAACGAAGTTCTCAAAAAGGCAAATGCCGAGCGTCTGTTTCCTAAGCTCAAACTGACTAAACTTCGCTAGGGCTGCCATGTCGTAAGAAAGCCTGATTTCAAAATCTCAAAGGCAGTGTTCTATTCTGAACTCTCCTCAAGGAAGTCTAATTTGGGGCACTTTTGAAAATGTCTCTGAAAGACTTCAACATAAATCTGTCGACATGGGAGAACCTTGCCCCTGACTAATCCAACTAGAGAGCGGCGGTCATAGAGGGCAGCAAATCATACGAGGCTTCACAAGAATAAGACATACTGAAGCCAAGAGAGAAGCCTGCAAGCTGTGCACAACCACAAGAGGAAGTGGAACCTCTAAATGTTCAAAATATGACAAACTTTTCCCTGTGAGAATTAGTCTCATCGACAGCAACAGAAGCCACAAGTCATCGTAACCTTTAATTTTTCAACTGCTTCTATTTCGCTGGAGAAATAACATTCTCTTCTGCGGGTGTTTTGGTCATCGTCAGGCATTGACGGACGTGCTATTATTACGCTGGTCAGACTTTTTGGGTTACATATATAGCTCACATGGGGGGGGGGGGGGGGGGGGTTGCTTATATTTGGGCTACATATCGCCAAAATAAGTCACCATAATAATAATAATAATAATAATAATAATAATAATAATAATAATAATAATAATAATAATAATAATAATAATAATAAAAATAATAATAATAATTATAATAATAATAATAATAATAATCGTTAGTTTAGTTTACATTTATTTGAACACGGGATCAACTTGGGGCTTTCAGGTTTGAACACTCATTGACCAATCTTGTTATAGAAAGCCTTTAGAGGCCCCCAATCTCTCCTAACTGAGTGTGCATTCGGAGCTTCTGCCTCTGAACCAATCTTAAGTGATCTGAATATAGTGTGACATTTAAACACAAGAAAAATCAGAATCCGAGTATATGCAAGAGTCTGAAACGCTTGTGTATCGACAACCTTGTTCATAGTGTAGATCTCACCTGTCCAAGACGAGTTCCTCGAGATTACCGAGGTCACAAGCAACGTACTCCAGAGAGGCGTCCGTGACCCTTGAGCACCAGGAGATATCGAGACTCTTCAGCTTTTTCATGTTTTCTGCAATGATCTCTATTCCATCGTCTGTAATTTTGCTGCAGCCAGATAAACTGAGATACGTGATGTTGGGCAAAGAGTGGATAATGTTCACGATACCGTGATTCGTGATCTCCCAACACGATTTGAGTCGTAGAATTCGGAGAGAAGAGTTTAGTTTGGAGTCAAAAAGAGCCAAGCCGTTATCGGTCACATGGTAGGCTTGGAGGTTCAGTTCGTAAAGGGAGGGCAAGAGTTGTGCAATGGCGCCGATTGTGTCGTCGGCAATGTGAATGCAGTCTGTGATTGTGAGAGCCGTGATTCTCGGGTTTAAACAAGCCCAAAGCCCAGAACCCGTGACTTCATTACAATTTGACAATTCCACTTTACTTATGTTCGGCATTTTTCTTACTATGCTTTCCAAACCTCCGTCAGAGATGTTAGAACACCGAATACAAACAGTCTTAATGTTTTTCTTGCTGGAAGCTATACTAATGATCATATCTGTCACATCTTTGTCGGTGGCACCAACAAGACACATCTGTTCAAATCCGCGACAGTGAAAGTGCTCGTAGTACAGCTTTCTTTTTGACGTATCATTCCCCCATTCTTTGAAATTAATCACTGGCATCACACCCACCCAATATTTACTGTGATAAAGGACACTTTTCCATTTCTTACAAACCTGACACAATTTCCTTCGTTCATCGGGGGGGAAATAGAAAAAGAATACATTCAAAAAAGTGTCATCCAGCGCTAGTTCCTGAATAGTTTCTGCTTTTACAGTCCACTTCTGTCCTGTAATGCTCAGATTAAGTTTTCTTATTCGACTCGCAATACCTGCTTTCGGTGACCCAATAAGTTTGGTCTGGGCAAAAATATTATCTTTACTCATTTTCTTCTGCTTTCCGTTGACACTATTCGCATCATAAGAAGTCTGACTTTTGTGGCAAACAGAAACAGAGGCCTGGGGGGATGATGACAAAGTTCCTTTCGATGGGTTTGGCACCATTGATAAAGGCGATAAATTCGAATCGTTGTCGGTTCGTATGTGCTCTTGGCGCGATGGCGATGACGCACTATAAGTCGATGATGAATGAGCGGACTTGGAGGAGGGAAACAATTTCGAAACTGCAGCGGATACGGACCCGTCGTCCAAATGCATAGGTTGTTTTGAAGTCTTTGAGAGTGATGGGCTGGACTTGTCGTCTGAAGGTCTCGCTGATGAGCTATTACTCACAGGCTCGCCTTGGGACCCCCCTGTCGTTGACGTTTGGTCCCTGTGAAAGCGAAGACCCCGAATACCGTTTGAAATTTCCATGTAGGCCTTACGTATCGTTGACATTGTAAACTATATGTTGCTGGATGCAGTCCCGGCTCCAGCGTCAATGAGAAACGCACACCTACAGAAAAAAGAACATCAAAGAAATGACTGTCAGTATTCATAGAAAAAGTGCATTCTTTCTTTTGGAACAATCTCAGACTAAGAAATAGCCTATTATGCAGAAACGTGAAATACAAATTCCAACACTGATGGACGAACAAAGGGGGCTCGTTAGTCATTTCCCCCTTCCTTTAACTGTGGGCCTACAGTCTTTTCTGTGTTTGACTGAGAAGTTCACAGCGTACCAGTTGTTTGTATGGTGCATTTACTGACATTAAATAATTAAAATATACTGCTAATAAATCATATTCCGTACAACAGACAAAGCTAGGTGCGAATTGAAAATACAGGGTAATTCCAAAAGAATTATGCAATATTTTAATGAGGAAAAACAATAGAAAATTGAAGCTAAATCACAAGTATTCTACTCATTTTTATAACACACGATAAGGTCTGGGTATCTGTCTCCGTAAGCACAGGTCAGGGCAACGGTTAGGCCCCTTTCCGACCAATCTGTCTGTTGGGCACTTTTTTTTAAATTAGCGAACCATCCGATGCCAATGGGGTGGTGCTCCATCTTTTTAGACAATGAAGTCATGCAAATCTGCTTGCAGTGGTGTGAAAGCCAGTTTTGGTGCATATCGAGATAGGTTTGTCCTGTATATCAAACAGTAAAAGGTGTTCCCGCATCCCATCAGGACATTGGGGATTGCCTTGTTAGTGAGGCAACTTCCTGGGCCTTCGGCATATTGTGGTAGGGTGGCCAGTTCCTTTCCACGCCGCCTTCACTTCCCCAACTCGAAGTTAGGTACCCATTACTGCTGGGTGGGCAGGAGGGAGCGAAAAAAATCCGTGTCCAAACCGAGGCTGGAACCCGGACTTTCCTTTAAACGAAGAACGACGCGACAGCAGCACCCCCAGTAATATGCTTTTTCATTACATTTTTCCTCATGCAGGCGTTCAGTATATCGTTTAATGTGCACACTATTATATGTCAAGCTTGAGAAACAGTCTTTAATCTCAATGTTTTGCTCCTTACCTCGGATACCCTTTGTAAAATCCAAAAGATGCGTATCATCGACCAAGTCATAGATCAATCAGAATTGAAATGCATCGTATTGAAATATCACAAACGGTAAAACTATTAAACCAATGCCAATGAACTATCGGCAATATAATAGATTCTATGCTAATGATGTGCGAAATAAGCTACCTCTTGAATTGTTTAAACAGCTTTTAATGCACACAAAAAATACTAACAAAACCTTCACTCGACAATTACTAGAAATAGATCTAGATCTACTATTGGTAATTACATTTGTATATTTTTTTGCATCGCAAAAAAACTCATAAAAAGTTACCTCTACTCTGACTAAAATATGAGTAATAATAATAACTAATTGTAATAATAATAACTTCTTAAGCGCCCACTCCTGTACAATGCAGCTCTAAGCATTTTACAATACCTTCATCTCAACACAAAACAGAACTGAATGAACAGGCATACATGAGACTCTAACCCTAAAGCAAACATTCATATTATCACAGCACAAAGGATAATGATATATGCACATCACATTAAGGACACAAGAAGGGTACTATGAATCTATGAACAAAAAGTCATTTCATAAGGTATGTTTTGAAATGAATTGTAAATTTTGCCCATGTCATCGTACCCCTCCAGTGCTCTGGGAAAGTGTTCCAAATAGAAGAACAAAAACAAACAAAAAAAAGAACCTAACAGCGATTTCTGGACCAACCTTCCTAGGGGTTCTCTTAAGAAATCGATCTCCAGATCTCAAAGGTTTTGTTGCTTACGGGAGCAAAATTGTAAGAACAGAATTCCATCTATATGAACCCAGGTGAAAAGATGACATTGATTTAGTGGCATACTTTAAATGGTCACACCTTTTTTATATTTTATATTTTTTATATATTCTTTCAAAGCATTGACGAATTAGCTAGAGAAATGGACAAAGAGATTGCGAGAGATAGCTTAATTTGAAATATTCTGTAACAAAAAATAGTTAAGGTCGACTATTTCGAGGTGCAATACAGTATGTCAGATAGTGCCTTAACTAAAACCATCATAACTCAGGCATGTATTTATAAGCGTCTGCACATCTTTTCTTTAAAGAAGGAAACTATTGTGTCACCCGTCACACGAGACACCTTATAAATAGTCAAGCATTTGGTTGTTTTCTCGCGAAAGGTGGATAAAAAATATCCAAAAACTTGCCAGTTCTGGCGGAGCACATAATAATTGTTCTTGTTAGAAGCAATGTTGGTGCTGAATAAGCCATTCTAAAAATGTAAACATGTTGTCACCTTTTGACCTGGGCTCATGTAATTTTGGGAGGCAATGGAGCTTACTCAAAATAGAGGTTATATGGTCGTTCTTCCATCCTCTTTTTAGACTAAAATCTCGCAGCTCGGTTTAAAAAGCGCTGTAGTTTCAAAATGGTGATATATATTATTATATTCTGGCGGTGTTTCAAAAGTTGTGGAAATCCATACGAGAGAACACAAAAGATGAAATGAAGATTTCAATTGGCATTCATTACACACACACACACACACACACACACACACACACACACACACACACACACACACACACACACACACACACACACACACACACACACACAACACGAGCGTGCACGCACGTCCCAATCCCATGAATCATAAAACGGGCGGACCATGGGGACAGAGATAAAGACGCCAAGTCTGTGTGCAGGATACAGTCAACCTGCTCTCTCGGTCACCTGTATAAGACAATCACCTGTACAAACGGCCACCTGTATAAGACAATCACCTGTACAAGACAATCACCTGTACAAGACAATCACCTGTACAAGACAATCACCTGTACAAACGACCACTTGTATAAGACAATCACCTGTACAAACGGTCACCTATATAAGAAAATCACCTGTACAAACGACCATCTGTATAAGACAATCACCTGTATAAGACAATCACCTGTGACGACCACCTGTATAAGACAATCACCTGTGACGACCACCTGTATAAGACAATCACCTGCACAAACGGCCATCTGCATAAAACAACCAACGGCACAAACGACCACCTGTATAAGACTATCACCTGTACAAACAGCCGCTTCCCATTTCCCTCCTGGT